GGGGACTGACTTCCCCTTTAGCTCTTCCCCCAGTTTTTGTGCCCAGCTTATGGTTTTCAGTGTCCAGGGCTTCTTAAAGGATAGGAAATTACGATCAGTGAAACACAAGAGTATGTCCATGCTCATGACTCAAGGTGCTGATTTGTCTCATTTACCAAGAGACATTTAAATTCTTCGCAATCTATTTTGTTGAAATATTTTTGCCAAAATATTTGAAATCTATTCTAAGTGTTTTCTTTGCATATCTAAGACAAAGGCTTCCATTCAATGAGGTCCCATGTTCCTAGCTCACTCAAGCTTTTCTAGGGATACAAGTTTTTTGATATATAGAAAAATCTCCAATAGCCTGGGAAGTGGAAGTGACTGACTGAACCAGTGTCACAGACTTCCTCTGCCCCAGTGTTCCAGAATGAGCTGTCCCCGAGACTCACTTAGCCATGTCCATTCCCTCACCGTCCAACTTTCATAATATTTTTCACCTTTTACTTAACTGACTTAGAGATGCTCAAGCTTGCATTTCTTACGTGAAATATTTTCCCGAGCTTCCTTCTGACCTACTTTATTTCTTGGCTTCGCTTCCCATGCACTCCTTTCTAAACTTGTTATTCTCTGTAGACGAGGTTTTGACATCTGCCTTCTCATTAATAATCAGAATGTTATACATCCTGGAATTACTCATAACCTGTACATGTTCCTTAGTGTTACAATAGGAATTCCATGCATGGACCAAGGACGTGAAGCGACCTTTGTTTTATTTATTTTTCTTTTCAAGTAATTATTTCATTTTCCTAATACCACCATAGAACATTTTAAGATTCTGTTTCTTCTTACTTTCTGATTTAAAAATATTCTGTCATTTCATTTATTGTAAAATATGTAAATGTCAAGAGGTAAGCTATACAGTAACAGCTGTAAGTCATAGCTTTATACACACACACACACACATACATATATATATATTTTGTTTGTTTGTTTTTGTTTATTGCTTTTTTTGGGGGGGGGTACCGGGATTGAACTCGGGTCCTTGCACTTGCAATATATATATATATTTTGTTTGTTTGTTTGTTTGTTTATTGAGACAGGGTCTCACTATGTAGTTGAGACTGACCTGGAACTTACTATGTAGCCAGGCTGGTCTCGAACTCCTAGCAATCCTCCTGCCTCAGCCTCTGGAGTGCTGGGATTATAGGCATGCACCACCATGCCTGGCTGATAGCTTTTTATATGCTAAAAGGGGCTTAAAGTGATCTCTTCTGCCAGGAAATATTTGAATAAGTTCTATAATATTATGCACTCCCTGTCTAAGCAATTCATAAAAATATGTTTATGATGTACTCTTAAGGGATTTTTTAATTTATTCAGGAACTTGTTTCCTTATCTACTCTTAGAAAGATAAGGCAGAAGAGAGGGGGACATTTGAAACATAGTGGTAAATCTTTATCTTATATCTACCTGTGTATACAAAATGTGTAACATAGCATCTCATTTTGAAAAAAGGCTTAAAGGTGATTTAAATTTCTAGCATGCTACTCCTGGATTCTCCTGGTTATTGAGCTCACCTAATAAAATATCATCTTTTATACAGAAAGAAGACTCAGAAGGTTCTCATTTGGGTGGTATGATAAACTTTGCTAATCCTTTGGCAGCAAGGATTGAAAAGACAAAGTCTGGAGCTTTTCGTCATGTATTTGAACTAATGCCTTCCACAGCTTTCCAGGAACAATATTGACTTGGCAGAGAGGAATCACTAATGACTCATTTACAAAGCCCATTGTAAACATCTGGTAGTAGCTACTTGGGGATACTGGCAGTTGGTGATGAACATCCAGGTGCAAGGCCTTTTTTCCTTCTTAAAGTTCAGATAGTTGCGAGGGAAGCTGGAGAAGCAGGACTTGGTGCAGTCATTTGCTGCGTGCCTTCAGGGAAGACTGGTGCTAGGTGCGCTAAAGAGTCAGACTGCCAGGGGGACCAGTTGGACGGAAGGGTAGGATGTTCAGGGTAAGCAGAGGGAACTGAGATTAAGATGTTATTTCTCTGTTGTTTCACCGCTCTCTTTCACAGTCCTTTCTTTTCATTTGCTTATCCAGGTGCCTCAAATGGACACAGTCACCTCCCCGGTAGTGTAAGGTCTGTGGGAGTGGGTGAGTGGTGCAGTAGTTGAACCTGGACTCAGGCTTCTAATTAACAAAACCGCGGAGCAGGGGAGGCCTTGCATGGCTGTTCTCCTTCCCCTCGTGGACACCAGCACCTTTGCCGCTGCTGCTGCAAGGCCCTGCCTCATTGCTCTCACCTGGTTCTGAATCCTGGCCTGAGAAGCCTGGCTCTGTGGATTTCCTAAGCGATATTCTCCTCATAGGAACATCCTGCTGTTGCTGCATTTTAACTGATCATTTGGGCTCATGCTGAAAGAACAAGAGTGCCTTTATGTGAAACATGTAGATCTACTTGTCACTGGGCAATGGAGTTTTGCAGAAAATCAGAGGAAGATTTCCCAAAGCTTACATTCTGGTGGATACAAAAATTGTTTTCCCTCTGCCCTCTGCCCATCCCCAGGTATGCAGGGCGGGGACCTCTACTTTCTGAAGTCTACTGTTCAAAGAACTCTGCTTCCCCAAAGAACAAATAAACTAGCCTCAATTCGGCGAAGAAAACCTGGTGGTGGTGGTGGTGGTGGTAGAACAGAGTGGTTGAAAATGGGGGGGGGGGGGGGGTTCAGCCAGGTGGCTTGTATTAGCGTCAATACGGTGGCGCAGTCAGGGGACCCAGCTGGAGCCTAAAAACTTCAAACTGAGATCTCACCTCCAGTCCGCCTCCTACCCTCAGAAGAGCTGAGGCTGCTCAGAGCCCGTGCTCTTGGGTAGCCCGAAAGCAGGCAGAAGTTGGAGAGAAAAGGAGAGAGCAGACCCCCGCCCCCCTTTGGCTTCCCGCTCTTCCCCATGCCTAACATGGGCTTCGCCCTGGAGCGCTTTAAGGACGCCGTGGATCCGGCTTTCAAGTGCAAGC